GCGCGGGCCGCGCTGCCCCCTCGGGCTGCCCGGCCGGGCTCCGGCACCGGCACCGGGAGCGGCGCCGGGACCCGCGCGGCTGCAGCCATTAGCGCGCGCTCCGCCTCGGCGGTTCCCTGGCTTTCCGCATCTCCTGCCTTTGTGTTTTTCCCACTTTTCCTTTTTTTCCTTTCTTTTTTTTTCTTTCCTTTCTTTTTTTCTCTTTTTTTTGTCCCCCCACTGTCGGGCTTGAATGCTTTTCATTGTGTTGTTGCGTTGATTCGCACCCTCCTCTCCTCTGAAGGTGCTAGCTGAATTTTAAAAAGTTAAATGATATGTAAACGGCGCTTTTGTGTCCTGCATAGTGCTAATGGGGCTTAACAGCCTCCTGCTTTATTTATTTATTTATTTGCCTTCTCCTCCTCTTGTGTATGGTCTTAAGTGGTGAATTTGTGTGATCTTCTAAGTGGTAAATATGCAAAACACTTCACTTTGTTAGCTCCCCAATTAGAAAATTGGAGTCCCATATACCTAATCAAACTATTCTTTTTGTATATTACTTGGTTTGCTGTTTCCCAGTATTTTTTTTTCTAGTATTCCTGTTCTTTTTTAAATAGTGGTTGTGGGAGTTAGGAGGTAGAAGCTTATGTGTACCTATTGCACAAAGAGTTTGTATCTGTACAGAGACCATTAACCCCTGTGATGTGGAGCCGTGTCCACCATGGTCCATGTAGGAGCCACCTCTTGCGAGCCCCGCTTTGCATTTGCAGCCAGGCATCTGTGGGGGTTGCAGTAGGGGGATGGAGCATCTGTGCTTTGCAGTGCAGTTAGTTGTCCTCTGACTAAAAGGGATCTCCATCCTTTGGAAGAGGCCCGTCTCTGGGATTCAACCAGTTACTTGAAGGTGGAGTCAAGTTCAAGGTGAATTTGAATGAATTTTCTACCTCTGAAGCCATTCAGGGAGGTAAAATTTTGAGATTACTCATAGTAGGAAACTTAAACAACTAAAAAAGATTGAAGAGAGTAAGCTGAACTACAAAAGTTCACATTTTTGCTTTTAACAGTTCCCTGTGAAGAATTCTTGCTCTTCTGGAATTATGACCTTGCTTCTTTTTGGATTCACTGTACGTGCTGTGTATGATTTTTGTTGTTATTTCTGCCCAGGAAGGCTGTGTCTTCTGGAAAGGTTGCGCGTCTTTCATGTCCACAGTGTAAGGTACAAGGGTCCGGGCATTGCTGAATGCTCCTGGCTTACCCTTTTCCTGGTAAAGGGCGCCAGGCTTCAAAGGAGCTTATTCCCTTGTATGTAGGGCATGGAGAGTTCCCCATCATCAGCTAAACTGCTGATGAGGTCACCTGTGGGGCAGTCCTTGGGGCACCTTTTGTGAACCGCTTCCTCTGCTGTTTTATGAATTCTTTCTTTATTACTTCTTAGAGATTATTCTGTAGAGGTGTCACTGATAGGTTTTTTTTTGAGTATTTTTGCAAAAATTATGTTTATTAACATAATTATTATGATTATTGAGTTTGTTTTTATATGCTGACTTACATGAACTGTGTGTCCACAGACTGAGTTTTTCTGTTTGTACAAAGTACACTTGCAAAGAGTTGTTCTATTGTCTCTGAAATTAATTTCTGGCACCTTCTGTAGAAAGTAGAGCAACACTTATTTATACACTACTGGAAAAAATACTCAGAGCCTTGTTAGCGCTTTCACTACTTATTTTAAGCAAAGAGAAAACAATAGGCTGCTATGTCCTGCACTCTTTTACTTCTTTGTTAAGTAAACCTGTTTTCCATTTTTAAAAGCAAAGAAGAAGTCTGTGCAGACTTTAATCTACACTTTAGTGCTTTCCAATTGTGAGCATATATTCAACAGCTTGCTCTTCTGTATTTTTTTAATTGCACTTTGCAACTTGTTTGTCCTGTAAATGGAGACTACATAATGCAAGTAAGTGTACTGTGTAAGTGCACAGTGTCGGCTATGCTTGTAGATTCCTGCTTTGCTGGCAGAATAAATTATCCTTAAAATAATTGTTAGATGTTTCTGTTGGTAAGTTTATGAAAAACAAAAGATTGATCTTCATTTTTCCGAAACTCTTTAGAGCCTGATGTGGCCCTTTTATCCCTGGACTACAGCTGACAAACAGACTCAAGCACCAGTATTCCATATTTGTTAATATTTCTTTTTAACTGCTTATGTAGCCATACTACGGAGATATTCATTCAAAACACAGCACAAAGAATATGTGATAAAGTTTTTTTTTTTTTTTCCCCAAAAACCTATATATATACTTTTTTTTTTTTTGAATAAATATACTTTTTTTTTTTCCTGGGTAGGCACCATTAATTCAGTTTTTCATATGTATTCCACAGTTTTCTTCTAAAATCTAGACTTTCTGCATCTCCTTTGTTCCTGTTACAATCTCCAGTCTAATCAACGTTAGTTTAGGTTTCTTTTATGGAAAGTTTCTGGCAACACCGCTTAGAAAGGGTGGGCAAAGTAGTCTTTGAGTAGTAATTGTTAAAATAATTGAGGAAAGGCCAAGGGGGGAAAAACGCACTTTCCATGAGATGCCTCCACTAGGTACTTCCTCGAGCATCAATCTAGTTCTAAATAGGAGAGGGCCTGGTAAAGCTCATGTCTGCTGCTGCACTCTTGAGTTCCTTTAAATCTTAAGAGTATTGCTGGCAAGTTGTTCCTCTTGATTTTATCTGGTTGTTTTATGGCCTCTTCTATAGTGAGGAGATTTGATGCAAATTCTGAGCCCATCGCACGGATACGGTTCTGCCATCGGACTCTGGCTTGCTTCTGTGGTTCAGCATGAGCGTGAAGAGCTGCTCTGCTCCGTCCTATCTCCTGCCAAAAGGGTGGAGCAGAGTTCTGCTGGTAGGGAGGTACCTGAGTATCATGCAGGCTTACAGGCCCGAAGGAGTGAAACGGACTTTAAACGTTGATAGGCTCATTTTGGTTAGCGGATACTATTCTCTGTGGAAGCAGACTCTCTGTTGAAGCAAGTCTTGAGAGATGTGTAAAATTGCAGATGCAGAATTCAGTTTGTCACCTTTCAGTTCAGTTTGTCACCTTTCCAGGACATTGGCCTGGACATTTTGGACGTAGGCTGGTGTTGTGCTTGGGAAGGCTGGTCTAAGCTCTCGTTTGCCTTAGATATTCTCAGATGCCCAGGAAATATTAGGTTACTTGTGTTATACCTTACAGGAGCAGAGCTAAGAATAGTGACTTACATTGTTTATTCAATGTAACTGTCAATGAACAGTAATATGTTTCCTTACTGAAGGATATTTTTGTCTGGATTTAGCAAAATGGCTAATATGGTTTATATATGATAGGAGTGACATATAGGTGACTGCTATTGTGAATGCTTATTTCTTCTAAGCTTGAAAGAGGGCTGTCGATTGCTGTTAGGCTTCTTACCTGATTTCATCCACACTCTTCCACACTGAGCATTGGTCTTCAGATATCCAAGCATCAGAATTAATGTTAATCCTAAGTGTGTTGACTACGGGCTCATTTACTCCAAACTTTTTGCAGATTGAATACATTCTTTTCTTTTTTTATAACAGACTAAATAAAACATCTCTAATATATCCTGTTATATTCCTCTGGCTTGCGTTCTTAAAAGTAATGAATATGTGCAGTCTTATTCCTTTCCTGAACTTCAGTGTTTTCCATTTACTTGCATTTTCTGCCCAGTAGACAAACTGAGAGTACTGTTCTGGCAAGTCAAGTCCCTTGCTTCTTTCGTTTAACATTTTTTGGTACCTGGGTCTTTCCCTTCCCCACTTTCAAAGTTTCTAAAGTTCTTGGCCGCTCTTGTTCCTGTGTGGTGCCAAAGCTGGGCACAGCTCCTTCAACATATTTTCCAAGGACAGAAAAATTCCTTCTTGAAAAAAGTAGGATAGTTGATATTTGCCTTTAAACTCCTTGCTTTCTGCTGCATACCTGATAAAAATGTGACAAGCTCTTCTCTTTTAAAAGGCTTCATAAGTGCTAGTCTGTATCTATCGGCATCTTTAAAAATTCGGGTAACTCGTAAATCCATGTTTTGAGAAGCTGCTTTTCCTTTTATTCTGTTGCTTTCTTCTGCGTAGATTAAAATTTGTTAGCCGCTTTGCACCAGAGATCCAACGCTGCCATTAAGTAGCAGACCCACGGGTTGCTGCGCGGGGGCTGGCGTTGTCCCGGGCCAAGGTGAGCAGAGCGGCTGTGGAGCCGCTGGGCACTCGCGCTGCGGGGAGCCCGGGTGCCGTGGCCGCCGAGCGACACGGGCGGCCCCTGCGAGCGTCGCCGCGGCCGCCTCTGCGCCGGCTCGCGCTGCGGCGGGCACTGGTGGCCTTGCTGGCGCTCCCGCCGCTCTGCTTCTGCAGCTAGTTTGGACTCATTTGTAGGCTTGTGTTCTGCGCTATGAAACTCTTACTTTTTTTTTTTTTTTTTTNTTTTTAACTAGGCTTTAAGGAGCCCATTTCTTTGTATCTTTAATGTATGCAGGAATGCTACCCATGTACATTCTGTACTGCATCTCCACGCTGGTGTAGTTGCAGCTTTCTGTTACTGAAGAGCAAGCTAGGTTTTAATTGGCAGCTCTTAAATCTTTGGAGCTAAATTGCTATGAAATATTGAAGGGGGAAACAGATAATGCCTTTTACAGTTGTGTTTAGGGTGTGCTGGTGAGCCCGGGAGTTCTTTGGAATATTTTAGTTGTATAAATAATTTCCTAATACTAGAATACAATTAATTATGTTCTATTTATATTGAAGGAAATGGCATCTGAACATTTTCTTACATAAGCAATGATATTGCCATGAAACAGCTGTAGTTTTATTTTTTGTTACCCTTGGATGGTGAAAAGGACTTAACTTCAAGCCTACCTTTTCAGTTTGCTGTAACACACCTTAATCTGATATGATAAGCAAGTTAAAATAATATGTCAGATAGCTGGAGTAAAATACTTTGTATTGACTTAGGTGAAAACAAATTGTTCTTCTTTAATGAAATCTTATGTTCCAGAGTATTTTGTATGATCCGATTAATGTTTTTTTTATAGATGAAACACATTTTTGTACTTCTTGGGCAGTAACCATTTTCTGTGGCCAGCTTAAATTGAAACTGCCACATAAAAAAGTAGATTAGCTCTTTCTTACTGTTCAATGTGGTTAGCAGATGATTTTTAGGCAGATTAGGTGCTAGAATTCCCAAAGGATGAATTATGAATTAATGATCACAAACAACTCTGATTTAAAACAAAAACAAACAACAACAACAACAAAACCCTAAATCCAATT